ATGATTCGTGAATGTTTTAGTTGAATAACCCAAGTTTGAAAATAAAACAATTACACACAAGAATCGTTACAAAATTGTAGAAGTACTTGATTTTATTCACAGAACTATATCAGTCACCGTTAAGCTCTCTCTTTTCGTTGCCTTAGTCGAGTGTAACATTGATATAATTTTCCAGTAAATCACTCATTGCAAACAATCCCCTCACTGTTCGACTGTACGGATATGGGGGATAAACATAATTCATGATGCACTACCCTATTCTTTTTAATAATAGATAAGAGAGCGTATGGAATTTGCGTATCTGAACAGTCCTTGTACTGAATAAATGAGTAGATGAGATTACAATCTTATGCCAGTTGTTCTCATATGTCCGTTCTCATATGTTGTAAAAGAAAACATTACCGTAATCGCTTTTGTTTATTTCATGTAACATTATGTTATGACGTATCACCATTATTTCCACTAGTTTGATGTTTATGCTCACTTCACGTCATGCAATTAGTATTCATCTGTGATGTATCATCAAAAAAGGGGATTGTCTGAGTGGCATACTCAAATAAAATACTTTGAAGTGTTCTATAAGAATTTTGCTTTTAGGTATATTCTCATTCAACGAATTTGTGGATATACATTAAGTTTCTTCGAGCTCATCGCAAAACTTCTATCTTCATATGCAGTTTAACGTGATGGTTGAACGGAACCTGCTTTCTGTTCATCTCATTTGGGCCTTCAGAGGGGTCAAGAAACCTAACAAGAAACACATCAGCTCTTATCAGAGTTTTGCAAAATTTGATCTCTTTTAGATCTGTGGTTCGAAAGATCAGTCAGAATGAATGGATGAATGTGATTAAATGTGTTGATCACGATTAAGAAACATTGCTTCATATAAGACACGTTCTAACCTGTGAGCAAGTTCATGAGCAGCAATCATCGAGGTTGCCATTGCACCGATGTCCTCAACCACGCTCGATGATTCGCCATTCCCTCGGCACATTGAACCAACATAAGCCATGCCTTGTGTTGATGAGTCACCCTTCGATGAGAGTAAATCGAATCTGAAAATTGCTCATTCCATTGAATTCAGTGCTTCTTGAGAACGGAACCGTTCGTTGCATTGCCATTCTTCACAACAGTCACTCTCACTGCATTTTCTGTCATGCTAATCAACCAATTGCTCTCTTGTAATTTTTTTTCGATCAGTTAAATTGGATGGAGGGTCGATGATCATGCACGAATCCATATCAGTCTGTTTTTGAAGACAGCAGTTTTTAAATGTTCGAAGAACGGTGAATAAAACTGAACAAAATGTTACTTTGTTATAAAAATGACATAATCGTTGACCGGTAGCCATTCGGAATGTTCGGAAACCCATTTGTGAATCAAGTGAACGGCATCTAATGCATTTATAGATAAATCCATCCTGAAAATGAACATTCTTATCCAATATATCTCGACATTACCGAAACGTTCCACTGACACTTGATCAATCTGTATTCAATTCTCACTGAAATGATCCACTGACACTTGATTAATCTCTATTCAATTCTGTCATTCATACATATTTATAGTACAACATGAATGTTTTTGTATACACTTTTCAGTGTTCTCCTGTAAGTGAACAAAGTGAAATCTCATTACAATTCCATTTCAGGCTGTTCATCTCTAGCGCAGTCAACAAGCGCTTCGGCGTAAGCAAGTGCTGCACTTATATCAACATCGTCATTAGCATGAGCCAGGATTTTGTTTTGACGTTGAAATAATTTAGTAATGTGCATGTCACCTGGTCGAATTATCAAATTCGTAGTCATTTGCATCAGAAGTGATATTATCAGTGCCATTAGTACCACCATATATAGTGCTATTGAAATCGTTCACTTGCATCAGCGGACAATCCTCTGGTCGAATCACGACGAAGGTTGCGATTAAATTCAGCGAAACAATTTCATTATCATTTATTTTGTTCATCTCGTAAATAGCACGAACCTTAACGGAATCATTATTCATCGTTCAATAAGTATGTGATTGCAAGCAACTGCGATATCAAAGATCAAGTGACAGAGGATGTGTGATGGATATGCAATTGACTTTAACAACCTGCTCGAAAATGGCGTTCAGATAGTTATTGACGGCAAATTGAGCTGAATATTCGTCACCATTAGCCATCTCAATGAAACCACTATAAAGTGAATAATCAGCCACCATCAAGATATCAATTTCGTATGTATCTGTCAATAGTTGATGTGCACGAGTTAGCATCGTGAGGTTACTTTTCGATGAAACTGCCTTAAAAATTGCATGAACATACATTAGCTTACATATTATTCTAGGTATCATTTCATCATACCTTCTCTGTCTGTGTGAGGCAATGACGATACGTTCAATATGCTTTTTTGTTTCGAAAATCAGTTGGGACCAAAATTCTCGACATAAAATGCGTAAGAAATAAACTTTTTCGCGAAGTTCAAAGTGTTTTCTCTGATTAGTTTAAGCTTTTCTTCAAAACATTCGTTTGCACTCATTCTTCCATTTTATTGAATGAATTTTTCAGAATTGCGCGAAGAAAAAGAACATTCGGCAAGCCAAATATTCGTATATCATTTGGTTTTTTGTATGATTTATACAATTTATCTTTGCTCTACAGCATCAGTATCTCTACATACTGCTAGGCGTCATCATAAGGCACTGAACAAATTGTCTGTTGAGTGCAGCGAGGAGTGATAATAGACACTGATAACAAATGAGATCCTGTAACATTACCCTTCGAAATGTCACACCGCCAATGGTGAGTTTTCGTCTGAAATGTACGACACTCTGTCCTGAAAATGTCTAAACAAATGATTGTATCGCTGCACCCTTCGACTGTTATGGTATCAAGAGTCGTACACTTTTAAATTTCTTCTATTAAGACCAAATGCATCTCTTTTCTGCGGAATACATAATGCTAGGAACAATGAGCGCGATGAATGCCAATTTGGTCGCTGANAATCAAATGTTTCCTTTGAGTGATCAAATGAAGCCCATAAGATAACGAAAACATTCTACAACGGTACGAGCAATCGATCAAAACGAGCTGTTTGATGTTTTAATGATGTCAGAAATGTGAAGTAGTTGTAATATTTGAAAAAGTAATCAAACCTTTTCGTTCAATAAATAAGTGGTAAACTGAATAAAGTGTTCAAATTCTTAGTTGAACAGACTGATGATTGCTTTGTGATTTTATGAGATTCTAATTAAGCGATGTGAAAAACAATAATGAGAATGTTTGGTTGCAGTTATCGCATTTTTGAGAAGGTGAAATGTTATAATTTCGGAGAAAAAGCAAACCTTGAAAGAATAACGGCAGAATAAGGCAAAAGTAGAAGACAAACAACGATAACGCTGTTGTCATTATCAGCGTCGGTTGTTTGGTAGTTGAGTGAAAAGGAGATCAACGGCAATAGATTCAGATCAAGTTCAATGAACGGCTGAATATTTTACGAAAGCAGTTCAAAGAATATCAGTGAAGTTGGTATATCCGAATAAGAAATCAGTCGTTTTGAAAAATGTTCCATCACATCACACTGGAAAAACTCAACAAACTGAATAGATTTGTTCAAAATCTGAGCTATATCACTGATGATGATGGCACATAGTGTTGTAAGATGAAGATTGTTTCATTTCATTTTTCTAAAAAAGTTTCAANTTTTTTTTTTGTAAATTGTAAGGAGTATAAATGCTGACAATCTATCAGCGGCGTAACATGTACAGTGAGACGTTTCTATAAAAAAACCAAAAGTCTATGAAAAACCAACGACATTGATCAGCTGAACATTGAAAGATGTATCAGAAATTTTTGAAACAATCGAAATGAACTGGAAAAACTTTTGTAATTTTTTGTAGAAATTTTCGTTTGCGAAATGAAATGAATATTTGAGGAATGAAACGGGCTGTTGACGGCATTCGTCAAAAATCTGTCAGCTGCAGAAAGCTTTGAACTTATCTGCAGAAAAAGGATCGAATATAAGCCGAGGAGAACACGTCAGTTTGCTTGTACGTGGACGTGAATTGCCCAGATGAAGAATGATTTATGGTTGAGTGTTGATAAAATAAAATGTTGCTTATTGCTGATAGGTGAAGGGAATTGATCTGCTGAGAGCAAAACAACAACATTAAATGACTCATTTTCACTACACCAACTAGAAATATCACCTAGCACCTCACATTTCTTGCTAACAACCTCCCTCGTCAGTCTATCAACTCATGTCGTTTCAGCATTTCCTCATGATCTAACAAATGTAGTATTTCCGAAACTCTGTTTGTTACCTGGTAAGTGTGCAATTGATATCTTCAAATCCAAATTTCTATTACATAGCTTTTGTTCAACTGTTCAGTTAACATTTTTGGTTTAATATCATCTGCTAGGCAGTTTTCGTGTTAGCTGCAACGATGAATTGTACTGCACAAGGAACTGTGAACATCCATATGGCTTTTGCTAAATTTTTCACTATAATGAATTTGTGTGTATCTCATCGAATAGATGAGAAGTTGTTGCATTCAGATTTCAGAACAGATCAATTATGAATATCGTTCTTCCTAACTCATTTGCATAAACTAACGATCTGAACCCATCGATGAATTAATATGAGGAAACATAAGAACTGTTTTTGATCTCTTTCTGATCCTTTTTGTAGGAAATGTCATGTAGAAATGATGGATAGCGGATAGTGACGAATATCTCTTTGGAAGTAATTGACCATTAAACTTTTTGGGCCTTAGCTTTGACCAGCCTATAGGCGACTTTTTGAACAGTACTCTTTTTCAGATTTATTATGCACGATATTTTCAGGGATCGTCGTGAGAAAACTTTGCGTGGAGGGAGATTTCTTCGTAGTTTTGTAATGATTTTGATAAACTATGTGAGCGAAAACATTCATTTCATGTATTCATGCAGATATCCATCTGTAAACGTATCGTTGTTGTCTTTGTTTGCGTTTACTGAACATTTTTGGTTTAATATCATCTATTAAGTAGTTTTAATCTTAGCTGAAAAGATGAGGGGTTCAAAGCAGGTCAGGGTCACATATGGAACACACAAAGCATTGTGATTCGATTAGATTCACTGATGAGTTTGTTCGTAGAGATTATTTCATGCAAACAAGTGAATAGTTTCGGCTTTCCATCTAACTGTCTTCCAAAGGTCCATATATCTGTTGCACATCGCAATTCAGTTCCATCGCAAAGAGTAGGTTCTGAATTAACAACATCATTAGTGACTGGATTTACCAGCTGGAAGTATTGATTTCGAGGTTTCTCGGTAATTAGGTGATTACTTTAAACGTTCATTGGCTTTAAATCGTGTCTAAATCATCGATGACTGCAGAGTTTATGCTATATTATATTAAAAAATATTGATGACAAATATACATACTTTGATTATAGCAACTGAAATGGAATTTTTAGTGCCACTCTAGTAATATCGTTCCGGGCATTGCACTCAACTTGAGTGAAACGTATTGCCGAGTTATCGCTGCAAACTGTAGTCCAGAAATTCGTTAACTGAAAAGATCATCTAATAATTTCAGTCATTTTGGATGAAGTTGAAGTTAACTTCTCGTTCACAGTCAGCTAGAGTTCATAGTCTGATTATTATTGTAGATGGTACAATAGCCAGGATTTAATTTTTGAGGTATACGAGGTGGCTTGCTGAATGGATGGTGCGAATATTCATCAGAATTCCCTTCTAGCATCTGACAGTCAGCGGTCATCGTTAGGATTGCTTCAATGTTGACGAGATCATGAATCGATCATGAAACTTCGATTCGTCTTAAAAAACGAAAAATAATCATCTCTTTAACCATACATCCATTCCAATCGTTAAGTACACGTCAGCATTACTCACTACCGTAATTATCGTTAAGTAAACGTCAGCATTAGTCACTACCGTAATGCTCACATGAGTTATCCTTGAATTCGTGCTTCTGAAATCGCATTCAGCATTGTGTTGCTTTTGTTTGCACTCAAGCAGTTTATTCATTGCATATTGTTCGTTGCAACTCGACGATCGCTTCAGAACATAGTCGTTTTTCCGTGCTGAATGCCGTCAGCCAGATGATTTGTCATATGTTAAAATGTGCCATCTGATTAAGGTATTACTTTCGAGTTGAGATTCCTCATTATCGTTCATTGATCACTGGTTGGTACTTTACGCTTTTTGGATAGGGATTATTCCACAAGCATCCTTAAAAATCATTCATTATTATTCTGGTGCAAATAGGCGATACCAAGCAAGAACAGCGTGGAATTTTACGAATAGTTCATGGAAGAGAAATTCAACTNTCGATAGCATATTGCGATGAATATAGGATTGTTGAATGAAGAAAGTGTTGATGCATCGTTCAAACAGAAATATGCTGACATTTTACGTTTATTCAACGAAAAACCAGCTTGAGCATTGAGCGTTCAACTACAATCAATATCTCCTCATAGTGAAATTCATTCACTCATGTTCTAGTCACAGCGCCGTTCCGTATGATTTATTGGTGATGATCACTCTAGGCGAATGAAATGCGATAGGGTATTAAGTGATCAATCTCTTTGATTATGAACAGAAATATCGATATATTATCGATATCGCGTTACATATTCATCAACAAATTGCACATTTTGATCATATTTCTGATCAAATGCAATCTATGAAACTTCGAAATGAACAGTTGTTTTCAGTGCGTTCTCTTAATCGTGTATGCTAATATCATTAATAAATTAATCGTTAACTTGATATTCAGTTTGTTTTCTTGTTATGAACACTTAATTGGAGGATTTTTGTAGCTAAATGCTCATTCTATGTATGAAACGTTCAATTTTTCATTCATTAATTGTTCGCATCATTATGATATTTTGTAGACGTGTGATGTATACGTGAAGCGTTATTGAATATCTCTTTTGTTAATATTTTAGGTATTTTATTTTGGTGTTCTTTCAGGTGCTGTTTCGTGTATTGCGCGGATTCCGCGATTTGTTTAGAATCGTCAACATCAAGAAAAGAGTCAGAGGTAAGCATTCTTTTCATCCGATTGAACCAGAGCATTTAGTGGTTTGATAGAGTTTTGATCGCACTGTTTTGATCGTGATCGCACTGTTCATTTCTCCGTGAATGCTTTGATGATTTGCTGATTTTCAGAGATGGCAGGACGACTTGCAAACGTAAACCAACCGCAACAACCACGTTCTCCATTCGTATTCCCAGCGCATATTCCTCGAGATAAGGTAACTTCAATTGATTCATTACGCTGTATTCTGCCCTTCTGATCACAACAGTTCATCTGACATGGCTAAAACTTACAGTTAGCTTCAGATCAGCCGTCAAGTAACCTTCACATTCAACTACACGCTTTTCAAATCATAACAAATCATAATTGCAGTTTCCGAGTCTTTGATTTGTTCACAATAACACGATTATGAAAGGTGTATTACCCATGAGCTGAAATAATACAAGGAAAATTAAAACGCCATTTTAGTTGCGTTTGGGACAACGTGTGGTGGTTGCTGTGTCACAGGCGAATAATTTACAAATATTTTTCGGAACAATTTTAGCTTGTAATGATCGTCGCATTATGATTAAAGAAGACGTAAACTCTGTAAAGACTCGTAAATTCGCCATTAAATCAACGAAGGTACATGATTCACATATGATTATGAGAGTTTTTTTGATTAGTTCGAATGTGAACTTATTCGATCACTTCGATATTCTGGAAAATATCTAAATAGATGAATGTTTTCAATCTTATAGTAATAGGTAAAGCATGCATCATGATATTACTAGCTTTAGCATTCTGTTCACAGTTTCCTTCGCAATTTGATGAATGATCACATTTCAGATCCAATTATTCGCCGAAGAAGATTGGCAGGTCGCTGCCTTTCACTTATAAAAGTAATACCGATAATATTTTTAAATGTGCACACTTGTATATAGCACCATAAAAGTTAGTCAATATGTGATTTAACTATATCATCAAATTTAGTGTTTCATTTGAAATTGATTTCTCTATTTCTAGTTGAAAAGTTTTCGATATATTTCTTCGTTGTATTCAACTCCTGGACAATCCTACTTCTCAAACGATGATGCGACATTTTACAATGCACATTCATTTGTTATCACGCGTTCTCGATCCATTTGCATGATTAGTTTCTGACTGCTAAATAACTTTAAAAAGTTGCATACAAACACTCAACTGATCATTCATGCAAACCGATTGCCCTGATTTGAATTCAGTATTTTGTACGATCATTAAAAGATGTTCTATTTTTCAGTTTGGAATAACGCGGGAGACATCAATTTTATCGTGATTGAACCTAAATTTTGTGTTCGAGTGAATTCTAGCCGAATGGTACGTTCGTTGAATTTATGAGAGCGGTGATCTATTCATAACTGAAAAGCCACTTTATTTCATTTATCATGCCAAAGTAGTAGCTCTGACTCAGAAGATTTACTGCTCACAAAAGATTTATTCTCCTGATTCGTTCCATTTGTTTTAGGCTGAGAATTTTATCATACGAAATGCACCGACTAAAAATTAATTTCAATAATACTTGTTTCGCTAATATTTCTTGTTTTTTTTTTTAAATAAGGTGCCTAATTTTATCGCAGAACGTATCTTAAAAATTCTGTCCTTGTTTCAGTGTACGTCAGACCGGAATATCACACTCCATCGAGATCAACACCAGTCTCATTCATTCATCTCGAGACGACTACCAACTAATATCTTGATGGGATATTAGAGGCTGTGTGCTTTCACTTCCTAGGAAGGAACCACTATTTAAAGAATACTGTCCTCTTCTCGTATAGATGAGTTTGGAAAATGATATTCCGATACTTTATTCATCAATTTGTGGTACACTGAAGGCAGTTTCTCCGGAGTTGCTTGAGAAACGAATTGAGGAGATGGACCACTTCATAGTTACACTCAAGGAAACGGGAATTGCTTCCTTTCTGGTTCCTGTTTAAATTGACAACTTCAAATCTGTAAAAAACTCACAATCAACTTTTTAGTGAGGGAATATTTGTTCAAGAAAGCAAATTTTTTGCTTCGATATGATTCATTCTCACAACCATGACACTCCACAACAGAAGAGCAAGAGCATAAAATATACAGTGATTCACTCTAGCGACTCCTTTCCACTTTCTTCTTCGTTATCGAATTTTATCTTTCTAGTTGATTCTTTAATTTGTTGCTGTTTTATTTTGCTGTGTTTGTGATCTACTTTTGCTTGCCCGGTGATCCTCCCATCCCAAGTATTTCTGTCTTTTTGCGTCTCTTGATTCCTGTTCATCATTCCTCAAATTTCTTCTCGAATTATTGCTCACACTCTCCTTAGGCTGCTGCATTCATTTTTGCCACGTTTATGACATTATCACGTTTTGTAGCCCACATTAGCGATGGTATCCGAACGACGGTCTGTCGGAAAAAAACTGATATTCGGATTTCGACCGAATGATTTGGAAGGTCGATCGGAATTCCGATTGTCGGAAATTCAAAGTATCAATTCGGTCGGATTTCGACCGAACAACTCCGACAGTCGGTCGGAATTCCGACTGTCGGAATGTTGAAAGTTCATGCCGGTTGGATTCCGGCAGAACGGTCTGTCACGATTAGCGCGAAAAGCTGACACAAATAGAAAAGGGCATAAAAATAAATTTGAAATGATCGTGCGGTGTGCCGATATTATACTGGTGAAACACTGGGCTTTGAGGATCCGATCAGCCCAGAGGGCGTACGTACGCTCGATTCTGTCTAATTTCGACATCGTTATTCTTAAAGAAATTTGAAAATCGAAAACTGAGGACGGCTCAGTTTCAACATTTTCCACGTCTAGCAATATTTATTAATCGCTTTCAAGACTGAAAATGAAACGTTGCGGACGTAACTCCAAGAAGATTATTCTATTACGACCTCCGTTTGGGGGGATTTTGGAGACAATGATTGATCGACATAATAGATTATTCGAACGGTATAATCCAGTGATAACTGCTATCGACCACTGCTAATTCGAAGCAATTATTCTTTAATATCTTTTCTTCGTAGAAATGCTAAAAGATTTACTATTCTAATGCACTGACATTCCTGGAATTGTATGTCTTCAAAACAATTTATTATTCAAAAAATTGCTCTACTCTATTCTTTCCTTCCACATCGGAAATAGGAAGGATCTATCATTGCGTACTACGCTATATTCAATTTTTTTTTTGGTCGGTGCATAAGTTCGTGCGTTTTTATTCACATTCAATTATTCCGACGAAAGTGCACGTTTCCGCACGAGTGTCATATAGCAATCGAAAATGCGTGAATGCACAAAGTAGCATCTATCATTGCGTACTACGCTGTTAAAGAAATTTTTTTTTTGGGGGGGGGGGTTTAG